TTCGCGTCCGCTCAATAGAGTTTTTTGTGTCAATTTTATGCAAAATATAACTGTCCGCGTCCGGCCAAGAGAGTGTCCGCTTAAGAGAGAGTAATTTGTTCCGAAATTTATACTTAAAACTTGGTATAGGAAAAAATGTCCGTCCAAGGGAGATGTCCATCTAATAGAGGTGTCCGTTAGGAGAGGTTTCACTGTATACATAAGGCAGTGTGACCAGATGATGATGAATTTTTAAATCTTTATTAAACATACAAAATATCTTGCATTAGGGTAGCTGGTAACTGTTGTACCACTTTGAGGTACGCAAATAGGGAAAATGATAGCATGGCGCATCAAACTAAAATAACATAATTTTTTTCCACATCACATTACTCTAGCAGTACGTGAACAAATGAGATGGTAAAAAAAACACGGTGCCAGAAATTTTATTTCCTTGTAAATATTTTTTTTAAAGGTCATTTTGTTTAAAGAATGAAAAAAATCTAAGTATAAATTTTCTTAAGAAAATTTCACTTCGCGTTGCAATTTTAATTTTTGAAGGGTATTTTATACAGGATTATGACTACTAAAATATGTTTTTTTTTATAAGTTCTCGTCCGAATTTAGTTATGATTATTTTAAGTGAAAAAAGTATTTTAAGAAAACAGTCTTGAATCTAGACCTAAAGTCTAGGGCTAGCCACAAAAAGGCTTTTTTTGGTCACACTGCTTGAAGGTGTGAACTTTCCGCCTAGGGATTGTCGTTGCACAATAGGCCTCGTAGCCCCTCTTTCTGGGCAAAATTAATTTTTTGCTGTGGCCATGTATGAAATAATCTAACCCAGCAAACATTATTTAGGAACGAATAGATAATGGTTCGAATTCTAATGTGTTTCTCTAAGGTAGAAAGTTAGAAGACAATTCGAGAATCTGTCGAGCATTACTGCATTCTCTACAAAAAGTGGACTTAGTTCTCAATATCGTGGAAAAGGTTAGATATTGTAACGTTGAATTCCAATTGTTTTCTTATGTCTAGTGTTTTCATCATCATTTTTTAATCGAATTACATTTCAACTCTAATATACTATGCTTGTAAAATCAGAATGTTTCTCCAACCTTAGAAACTGTATGTGCTGTATGAAAAAAGTCTGCAATACTTTTGCATCAAACCGTCGGCTTAGGCGCTATAAATAGCTATTTCGAGAATTTTGGAGCACTTTTAACAAAATTTCATAAAAAATTGGGTTTTTCAAATTCTATGATTTTCATCGATTATGATTCAGTATTCAGGCCTGCCAACTTGGCTCAAACCTTGGCATAAACGAGAACTAATTTTACGTGAAATGGCACCAAACCTTTCAATTTGGCGCAAGGTGTCAAAATTGTACATTGAGAAATAAAAATATTTCTTCAATAAATTTTTGTGAAGTCCAACGTATGCTCTACTTTCAAATCAACTAACATTTTTAAGTCTCTGAAGTTTATTTTATTTTCGTATTGCGCTTTTTTTTTGTTCTAAAAATTAGGTTCCAAATTTATTGGTAAATGGGAAAGCAAGAAATAATCATCTCCGATTAAAAATAGTTTTACGTTTTTTGGCACTTTTATTTTTGTAGTTGTCAATTTTTGGCACCTTTTTATACCTAAATATGGCACCTCATAGCTAATTATAC